CCTACTGTAGGTGACCCTGCTTCGGCAGGAGGGTTGGACTAGATGACCCACAGAGGTCCCTTCCAACCCCTAACATTCTGTGATTCTGTGAAATATGATGCTGCTCTTCAAAAAAGTTCTATATTAATGCCAGGTTTACATGATGTGCATGTGTCTAAGTCATATCTTAATCACTTTTTACCTCAGATTCTGAAGTGTGATTACAACAGTGAGGATAATCTGAGGTTACAGTTGTAGTACAAGATGCTATAGTGAAACATCCTCGTTTACCTGTTGGAGTCCCCAGAAAGTCCATGTTTACTGTGCTGGCTGTGGACTAAAGTGGAAAGTGTTCTTGTAGCAGTCAAAAAAAAACCAAAAAACTGACTGCTACTGTAGTAGTAAAACTAGTTAGACAAGACTAACTTTATTTTAATGCTTTTGCCTCTTAATAAACATTTTTATTTTGATCTTGGGCTTCAGATTACGTTTTGTGCAGAATTTTATAGTTTTATTAGACTTGATCAATGATCAGATAGAAAAGATTCATATTTACACCGGACTCTTGACTCCATGGGAAATTGTATCTGTAGAAGCTTTAGTTGCTAATAGTGTACAGTAGAGAAAGACTGGGTGTTCACATTCAAATTAATGTCTTAGCCCTTAAGGATAACACTCAGTAAACCTCATTTTACTTGTAAGCTGTCCAGTTTTAATTGCAAAGTGGTAGAAATGAGATCAGTTTGAAATCTCCCAGTGCTACTTAAAAAAACCTTTTTAGGGGAGGATTATATTTTTGGATACAAATAGTCTACAACACTTCAAAAAAAACCCACAAAACAACTGAAAATAAATCTTAAACCTAAATATTCTTGGCTGGTGTGTTGAGAGTTTTAACAAATCTTTAATAACGTTATTTTGAGGCATAGTCTGTAATTGTCAGAGGTGTTGGATAGATGTTTGCATGAATGTTCTACTTTGCAAATTGCATAGTGAATTTTAGAATTTGTCATCATGTTGTGGAGCTGTAAGATTAATATAAGAAAAAAATTCACTTTAGGAAAGCAGCTGAAGGATGGAAAGAAGCCAGAACCCTGCAAACCTATTCTTAAGGTGGAATATAAAACTACTAGAGCTGGGTAAGACTTGTTTTGTATGCCAAATTAACATATGCAAAATAAATGCATCTCTCTGGGAATGTATTTTATTTCCCAGTTGCTGGGACACATGTTCTGATGGCACTGAACTATGGTAAAACAGCTGAAATAGTTCTGGTAAATCAGATATTGCTGAATAAACTACAAAAACGTATGTGAACAAATTACTACATACAAACCTTAACTTAGGTAAAGATGCTGATAATGCATTATCTACATGCTTCTTCCATGCTACTAATCTTATGTGTATCTTTGCTCAATATTTTGAGAATGTTAAAGAAAAAAAGTCTGATAAAGCACAGAAGACTCAAGCACAGACCTGAAAAACTGAACTTAGACAAATAGTAGCCTGATGCGAATATTCTAAATTCTGAATATGTGTTCCTCCCTCAAAAATGTTATGGACAGAAGCTTTTCTAGTAGAGTGCAGTAATTTTATGCAGTGAACTGTGCCTGATTATACACATTGAGAATGAAACAAAGGAGTAATTGCAACAAGAGGCTCAGATGGAATTACAGTATTTTGAGTAGCATGTTTTGTTATCAAGACTGCAATTAAGATTTCAAGGGTGTAATGAACTGTATGAAATTTCTTTTATTTATGGTTCTAAAGTGCTTGAAAATGTTTGAATAAAAAGTGCAGTATGAAGAAAAAGTCATGGAAACCTGTTCAGCTACATGCAAATGTAGATTATTTTTTCCTTTTTTATTTTCTTTGATTTGAGGGGGGTGGGGGGGTGAGGAGTGATGTGTTATGTATTGCTTTCATTTGCTTTCCAGGTATTCAAATCTACAGAAGATTGTTACTTAACTGATGTAATATAGGCTTCTACTATATATTGGTGTATTCATACATACGATATCAGTGGTTTTGTGTTTTTGTTTGCTAAAAGTGAGATAAATAGATATTTAAGACTGTGGCTAATTCCCAGATGTATGAACATCTATGATCAGTTGGAAGGCCATATTGTACTTGCAGCAGTCTACATCCATCTGCATATTTCTTTCCCAACTGAAATGTGAAAAGCTGATCTAAAGAAAGATACCGACAACCAAAAGTGTAACCTGCTGAAGCTGAGAGTAATTTCTACAATCAAAAGCCTTCTGTTATGAATAGTCATTCTGAAGGAAAAGAGTGGTTTGAAGCTTGTTCTATGCAATTATAATATTAAACATGAAAACTAGTTGATTTTTCACACAGTTTACAGGAGGTTATTCTGGTATAATTTGCAAGAATACATAGCTCTTTGGTGACACTACTTTTTTCTGGTGTGGCCTTTTTTATTACACCTCTTGTTTTCCAGTGCTCATCCAAACTTATTGTTTTGAAGCGTTTCAGTTTAATTTCTCTCTGATATTTTCTTCATCTTCAATGTACATCTAAATCTATAACTGTTGTGATACTCTTCCAGAACTTTAATTAAAAAAAACCGCATACCTACAAAACCCCAGTTTGCACTGTGGTGGTGAAGCAGTGCACTGAAAATCTCCATTCATTTACTACTACATGTACTTCAGTTCACACTTGAATTTTTGGTTTCATTCATAATATTAGTACACCAATGTTAAGGCAAGACAGACCTACCTTTCAATGCTTAAAACTGATAGTTTTTTCTCTTTACCAGTTGAAATTGATTAGGTGTGAACATGATACAATTTTGACTTTTAGCTAAAGCACTGTCATTTGTTCATGGTTTAATTTTTGTAGCACAGAGAAGTATCTTTCCTGGACAGGACCACAGTTTTTCTAGTTATGCAAGAATAGAAGAAACAAATCAAATTTGCTTCTGTAGCAGTCTGCTCTAACTGTTCTTCAAAAACAAACCGAAAACCCCACATAAGAAAACAAAACCAAAAAGCTTACAACATATTTAAGAGGTACTGTTTAATGTATATTTAAGTTATTTCACCTGACTTTTCTGTTGTGAAGAACAGTGACTTTATGCTCAATACGGAAGTCTTAACATCTTTCTGTCACTCCTTCTTTCTTGCCTCTCCCTTACCCAGAGTAGTCTAGAGCTTAGGTTTCTTTCAATATCTCCTCATGGAAATCACTTCATTAATGTGATCTTACTTGTTTTGGTTTTTTTGTTTTGGTTTTTTTTTTTTCTTTACTGCTTCTAATTCTAATAAACATTTTTTTTGAGAAAAGGTATCCAGAACCACACAGAAGGAACGTAACTGATAGCAACTGGAAGTAGGGGCTGCAGACACTATTCCTTCTACTGGTGCAGCTTTTATTTTTTTTCCCCTTTATGTTCTCCATATTGTGAAGCTGGAGTTGGGGAAACAGGAGGACATGAGACTTTTTCTGGTTCTTACAGACTACCTATTTATTTTTTAAGTTTGTAGTTTTTCTGCTGTTGGGTTTTTTGGGCTTTTCAAGTCTACTGCAGATAGTGCCTGTGAAGTCCCCAAAGCCAAAGTTTTTTACCCTACAACAATAGTATGTCTGTAGCTTTATTTCTGGGACAATATATGTAGAAAGGTTACTATCGACAGTCCTCCTGTACATGGGCTAGGGGGTCAAAAGGCAAGTTCTTGGTATATTCCTTGAGCAAACTGGGATAATTTTCCAGTCCCAGAGTATAATATCATTGTTCTCCAGCCACTGAAGTTCATCCAAAATACTCTTTGAAGCGATGAGTTCCAAGGTAGGTTACTTTTTGAGCTTGCAAAAATGGTTTCCATGTTGCCTTTTATGTGTACTTTTCAGTTTAAACTGAATCTAGATAAGCTGTTGAGCTTCCTAATACCATTTCCCACCCCTCCAGATTCAGTCCCTTATAGTATTTACTCAGGTTGATATCACCATTATGGTAAAATTGCCTAAGCTTATTCTTTGTTACTAGAGTTCTGTATACTAGAAATTCCAGCTTAAAAGCTTACTTGTAAAACATAATTAAAAAGATGGGTGTATATAGTTGGGTCCCCGAGGTTACAGTGGTAATGAGGTCTCCAGATAAGTTCTTGATCTGTTAATTTAGTTTGAATAGTACTATTTTGTTGTGTGAGGTTGTTGATTCAAAATCACACTTCCCAAGATGAGTTTGTAATTTATCTTCACTACTAGATTTCCAGTCTCAAGTTAAACTAATGCTTGAAATATTTTCCAGCTTTACTTCTAGGGATTGAGTTATTGACAAATTCACCCACGGTTTGAAAAGTGTGTCAGCTGGTACTAATGGCCTGACTCCTGTATATACGGTTCTCTCTCACATCCAGATTGCAAGAAACTGCCTGACATTTGACAGTTTACGTCTAAAATTGAGCAGAAACAACCTTGAGGCTTGTGAGCCACTCAACATTCAGTTGTATTACATTTTTATACACTGCAAGACCTAATCCTGTGTTTTCAGAAATTTTTTTCAATGCAACATTGCCCCCTTATAGTGCATTTTTTAAGAGTTCCCCAAGAGATTTTAGAGATTTAACTGATGAGGAAATTAACATAAAGGGATTGCTTCCATACCTGCTGAAGCAGAACTGTTTCAAAGAAGAATCTCTGTATTACAGCTGCTAAAAATGCTATATAGCAATTCTTTAATAGTTGAGCACTGCTTTTTGTTAAATGTTTTCCATTGTTTCAGGTAGGTAAAATCTACCAAACAAGGTTGCACCAATTTAATCTTATGTAATGTACAATATTTTACTTTTCTTTTAAGTTGTGCATTTCTCTAGTATTCATGTGCACTAACCTTTTAGTATGTATCACATCCGAAGGACACTTTAAGTATTTAGTGAGAAAATGCGTAGCTTGTGTTTGGTAAATCCATGGTTTCATGAAAAGTTGAGAAGTTCATACACAAATCTATATTAGTCTTTCTGGCAGACTAAAGTCAACTTTAATCTTTGACCCATCTGTGAAAAATCCATGTGACGGGTCCATATAATCTATTCTTAGCTCTTGCATTCTTTGCTTCATTAGGATACAGACTCTGGCAAGCCTGCCCAAAGCAACCTGATGACCTTGAGGAATAAAACCAGAAGAAATGTGCATGCAGTTTTCGCTGTGATATGACACCTAGAAACTGAAATTTGTCACTTTGTTACTGGCAGTTGATCTTGGTGAACCTTTAGGTCTAATAATTACTGCAAATTGTTCTGACAACATTATTGTTTCAACAACTAATGATTTAGTGAAGACAAAAAATACTGCAATAAATCATTCCAGCACAATGAGATACTGCAAGTACATCACACCAGTATTTTTTCTCTTTATTGACATCCTGAAAAATACCAGGTTAAGTTAAAATTTATTCTTTTCCTGAAATTGCTGCATGGATCTGAAAACGAAAGATTGTGTGAAGTTCCAATGTGAAGAACTGAGATTAAATAAAACTTGGAGAAAACTGACTGTTTTTCTAGAAATATACTTTCGCTGATGTTGGAGGCAGGATATTGAACTTGCTGGACCAATGGCCATTCCTTTGAGGTCTCTTCCTCAGCCAGCAGAACTGTTTGATCCTATCAACTCTTCAGTCATGGGGCTTTCTGAAGGATCAGGCAGATTGTGAAATAATTGTAGAAACTGAAAGCTTATCTCAGTCTGCTTTACCTTCAATGCTACAAACACAGAGCACATTTCAACCAAGCCTTAAACTCATGAAGGGCAGCATGTGCATAAACTAAACCCTTCATGCACAGTTTTCAAGAAGAAAGATGTACCTAATCTGTCATGTTTCTATTTCAAATGCTAACTAGTGAAAGCCATTTAGACAGTATGAAGAAGATGGCATTATAGGAAAAGACCAAAAAAAAAAAAATCTCTTCAGACTCATTTTCACAATGTCAGGATGGTGGTTTTTTCCCCTACAAATTTTCTGCAGATACTGACATACTCATTGATTCTAAGGTAAACACAAACAAAGGGTACAAAACAGTACACAAACAAAGGATTCCTACCTAAAGTAAGCAGAAGAGTAGATTGGAGGAGTTTTACACTAAGTGACCATTCTTCCTCCAGAAATATATCCTGGAATTTGAGGCAATAGCCAATAAAGGGTGAAATTTCTTGAGCTGTATACTTCTGAACAGTCCGTTTGCTCTTTACAAGGTATTATGCCTTATTTTAAACATAAACAGTATTGAGTGTTGACTTTTGATAACTGTGAAAGAAGAAAATATCTAGTAAAACAAATATATTTACTTCATGTTTTTCAGTAAATGAAATACTAACCTGCTATGTGTGTATTGGAGAAAATGCGGATATATTTAGAAATATCTTTCTGTAAAGACTTTAAAAACATTTTTAAGAGAAGCCTCTAATGTGTTTTCTTATGACCGGAAGAAATATTTTTGTATTGCTGTACTCAGCCATTTAATTATGCAGTAGAAGTAGTCTGTGACGTGGAAGTAGTTTCTTCAGTTTTGTGCATGGTGTTAGAGGGGGAAATGGATAAAATGTCTAGACTAAATGTGTGATGAGAGAACTATAGGCGTTTATTTATGTCTTTACTTTAAAAGTGTTAGGTCTTTGAAGTTTATCAAGGAGCTGGTTGCTTCTCCAAGACAGTCATATTACTGTGACTGCAAAATTGCTTTACATGGTTGCAAAATTGTTCATCCTACAAAATTTAGGGTAAATAGTAACGGGAAGTTCATGGGACTATTTCTTCCTGATCCTGCTAAAATATTTTATATTATGGATAAATGGGGCTGTTGGCAAATCTGAATATGTAGTTCAGTAGAAGAGAAACAATTCTAAAGTTTAACAAAATAAAAAAAAAATCTTGGCAAACAGTTGCAAAGATTCTTAAACAGGCAACATAGAACAAAAGGTTTGGAAGAGATGTCTGACTTGAGTTGTAGTCTTCTAACTCTTGGTTTTAAAGTTTTGAAACATATACCAAAGCTACACGTTGCGTGGAGAACTGGTTTGCATTATTGTGTATCTCTGCTTAATGATATCGCACTGAACTTTACTGTAAGGCTACAAAAACTGCCCAGTCTCTCTTTACATATTACCTTGGCTTGATCCTAAATGCCTCTGCTTTATTCCAGGGAGCCTTTCATCATTCTCTCAGGAGGCTTGTCATATGACACTGTAGGAAGAAGACCCTGTTTAACAGTTATGCATGGGAAAAGTACTGCTGTGCTAGAAATGGATTATTCTATTGTTGATTTTCTAACCCTTTGTGAAACACCATATCCTAATGGTAGGCTCTGTAAAGTTTTTTTTTTTTCTTAGTACTTCAACCTCTTCTCTCGAGTCTTATCCCATCAGAATATTCTTTACTATTGCCTTTCTGTTTTATCTCTGGGGATCAGACTGCAGCAGTAACATCTGTTATCCCTATTGTCTGAAGTCTGTTTTGCTTCCTAAAGCATTGTAATAGAATAGTTTATTGTGAAACCAATTTTTCTTCTGGAAGAATGCTGATTGCTGGTTGCAGGGATTTTCCTTTTTTTAATCCAAAAAGCATATGAGACAAAAAGTAACATTACAATTTTAAGCTGTAGTTACTGCAGCAGATGTGTTCATCAGTATTTATTTGAGCACATAAGATCTTTCCAGTCCATGCTATGTCTTGATTAGCATTTGTATAGTACTGTTAACTTTTAGTGACTTTATTGATTCCAGTACACACAGGAAGTTCATCACTAACCTATAATCTGCCTTCTGCAGAAGGGTTTTTTTAATCATATTTTAGGTAGTTGTCCTGGATTAATACTATTATATTTCTGATGACTCCGATGTTTTCAGCTGTCAGCTTCCATCAGAGTATATAAAACTGCTTAGCTCAGAATTTGAGGTCTGCCTGAAAGAGAGCAAGATAAAATTTGGAAACTCATTCAGTTTCCTTATTTTAGTGTTGAGTTGACTGTATTTCAATTCATTTTGTAAGCAATTAGTATTTAAACCCCGCAGAATATAAGCAAAAGCACACTGGGAATGGGAGGATGTTATTATTCAGTAATTGGCCCTTTCTCAGAAATATTGCTTATACAAGTTCCTCTGCATGTTCCTTTTCTTGTTATTTGAGCTGTTTAAATTGTTCTAGCAAACTGGAGGAGATTGAGAATTTTGAACTAAAGGGAGAGTGTGTCTGTTCCAGACTTCGAGTATTCAGGGGAGTGAGTGTATAAAATATCTTCAGAAACTCTATAGTCATCTAAGTGGCTTTTCTACTCTCAACAGATAGAGTGCAAGGACTGATCACATACATGAGGCTGTGCATGTAAGAATGGTTTAGCAGGCATGGTGGTGTTGGGTTGACGGTTGGGCTTTATCTCAGAGGTCTTTTCCAACCTAATGATCTGTGATTCTATAAGAACTACACTTACCAATAAGTAATTTTTTTCTTTCTTGTTTTCAGACTTTCAGGAACCATACGCTGTAGTTGTTCTCCTAGAAAAGGACTTAGTACTGATTGACCTTGCACAAAACGGGTAAGAATTTTGTGTAGTCTTTTTAATGGTTGGCTGTAGCGATCAGCCTGTTTTTCTGCTATATAGCATTTTAATCTACTATAATACCTCCCTGTCCAGAACGTAAAATTCTGAATTACTAAATGTAAGGTTTCTTCAGCAGAACTGGATATCCTTATAGATCAACTTTTCTACTATATGTAGCAGTTGAGTAGAATATTATGTGACTTTTTCCAGACATGGCTGATGAACAGAAATTGCTCATAGATCACTGCTGCTTTTTAATTATTGTGGTTGATGTTGAAGTTGATTCCATAGTGCTATGAGGGGAGCTCAGAATTTTTTGGGGAAGGAAGCAGGGGGAACAACTGTTCAGATAAGCCAGGTAATTTTGGCTGACATTGAGTGTGGTTGTCTTCATATAAATATTTGCTGATTTTTATTGCTAACTGTATTGCTTAAAGTAACTCAGTACTGATGCAATAAATACCATATGCATAGAAATAGAATGGTAACATCTACTCCATAGTTTACTACTGTAGTAAGAGGTTGCTTCAAATACAGTATCCTGTTACAGTTCTCACAACTAATACTTGCCTAACACATTTTGAGTCTCATGTTACTTTGTTCGTGGAACAGTCCATATACTCTGTTAGGTGGTGATTAAAAATTCTGGATCCTACAAATTATTTTATCAAGGGTTTTGAAATTATTATAGGCATTAACAACTAACTGTTAAGGGATTAGTAGCAGAGGAACCAGACAGATAAGATTTGTAGTGTTCCTGATTAAGTCACTGATGGTCAATGAAGAATAATCCTTGTGAAGAACATCCTTCTAGGGCAAAATAAAAACTTGTAAATATGTATCCTCAAAGTCAATGGTCATACCTTAGATAATGAAGACTGAATCTGGAAGAAGGTCAAGTTTAGTCCTAATATCTCTGCAGATTCTGAGCAATTTCATTTATATTTTCCCAATGTTACATGGCCATATGCTGTATATAAAACTTCTTTCTGATATACCAATGGCATTAAGCTTCCAACATTCATATGTTGAAAGATTAATAAAACAAGTTTTAATGAGCTTGAAATTAAAAGTTTTGTACAAGGCTTTTTTCTGAAGTGAAATAGTTTGCAGTGCCTGAAATTTGAAGTCATGTTAAGGCTTGTTTCATTTAATGTTAAAAAATCTCCAGCAGTTATGTTTTTAGAAAATGTATAACAGTCTTTGTTATGACTGACATGCAAAGTGTTGATTGTTTCACACCCAAAAAAAACCAAAATATATTTTTTTTTTGCTGTAGGAGGTTTCCTTTTTGCCCTATGTTGTCATATGGATTTACCATGTTTTGTTAAAATTAAGCCTCTTTTTCATTCAGTTTTTAGAAGATTGTTTTGGCTTTCCAGATAGCTCTGTATGAAGTTATTGGTATGCAGAAGGTTTTCTTCTGGTTTTGCTGATTTTTCCTTTAGCTGTGTTGAGAACCTTTTTCCATTTTCACCTCTCAAAAAAAACAACCCCAAACCAAAACAGAAAATACCCTGTATGCATAGTATGCATTTCTCTGGAGATAAATATTCTTTGAATGTCTTTTTTTCCTCATTAAGGCTCTGTCACTTTTCTGACAGAGGTGGTGGTTGAGAGTGTATGTGTGTGTTTGCTTCTAATTGGTAACTGAGTGTTGCCATCTATAATGTTAAGAGAGTGATCTTGGAGTCGCAAGTAGATTGTGAGAAGTGCTGGACAGCTTTCTAAGAACAGTATAATAATAATACAAAGTGAGAAGTGGAGTCTTCCTGTATTTCTCCCTGGAAGAATAGACTGAAGAGTTAGAAGTAAAATTATAGCTCCGCTTTACTACAGTTAGGACTTGGTAACTTCAGTTTTTCCACAGACTATTAAAATAGTAAACTTTAAAAAATATAAAACTGTAGGGAGTAATGGTGTTCTAGAAGTATTCTAGAAACAGTACAAACTTCAGGCTCTATCTAGATTACTACAGTATCTTGGTAGCGTACTGGATGTGCAGTAAAGTTACATAGCATATTTGTTCATAATCTAAATTGATTTATTTTCCTCTATATGAAAATAATGCAAACCTAGTCTTCAGTGTTCTTCTTGTGTTCTGCATTTAAAAAAAGAAGTTTTTCCCATATTAACAGTCTTCCCCTTTCATCCATTAAAGGTACCCTATATTTGAGAATCCCTATCCTTTGACTATACACGAATCACCGGTTACATGTTGTGAATATTTTGCTGATTGTCCTGTGGACCTCATACCTGCACTCTATTCAGTTGGCGCCCGACAGAAACGTCAAGGTTACAGTAAGAAGGTACAACATCTAGCACCTACCTATGTATTTGAAAATACTGAAAATCAACAGCTCTAAACAATGTAAGAGTGGCTACACTAAGACCAAAGCTCCATCTGACTCTGACAGTGGCTAATAGCAGCTGGCTAGGGAGGATATGGCATATGTCAATCCTATAGTCATGCTTTCCTGATGTGTTCCCATTGATTGCCCTGTCGCTGGAAACTAAAGGACTTCCTGGAGCAGGGGTGTTGTTTATGGCCCTTGTTTGGTTTTTTCCTTTGCAGTGGATATGTCTAATTACTTTTTCAAGTCATGTGAAATACTGGAATCTGCAGTATCTGCAGTAGTTTTGGTGGCTTGACTTTGCACTGTATGATATTTTCTTCCTCAATGTGTTTGTTAATCTTCCAGGAATGGCCTATCAGTGGAGGCAACTGGGGTTTGATCACTCAGAGCTATCCAGAGATAATTATTACAGGGTAAGTGACACCATAGTGTAGTCGTAATTTTCTTAGCTGACTGAGTAGAAGTGAGAATATTTTGTTCCTATTATAGAAAACAATGTTCTAAGGGTGGTTTGAATGATTAAAGAAGTTTTGTGTACCAGACACGTCATTTGCATAATGTTCTTCAGGCGTTAACAAGAAAGTAAAGCAAAATGTGGAAGAGAAGGTAGGAACGAAACAATAGCAGGTGTTTTACAGGGATTGTTGTGATGCGGTATTGTGATTGTCTGCTTGTTCTCAGTTTATCCTGGATTGAACTTATATTTCATTCTTTAACTTTTGGAAAATAGTTGAGTAGTGTTTTAAAGCATAGGAACTCCAGTAAATAGCTACTGAGTTTAGTTTGCAAAGGGAAGCCAAACTTTTTATTTCAAAAAGTACAGGCAAATACTGTTTGTTTTGATCTCTTTTGAGACTGATCCTTCTAATACTACTTTAAGGAGCACGAAAAAATTTTAATTTATAGCAGTACAGTGCATCTCTGAAAGTGAGAGCACTACTAAAGTGTTTTTCAGAGCAGCCCTTTAGCCCTAATGAGGATTACTGTCACTTCATACTACACATTGCAGAGACTTTGAGAGACAGTCCTGAAAAAATCTAGTCATCTGATTCTCAATTTAAAGGATAAATAAAGAAGTGAGGTGACTCGTTTACACTGAAATACAGTACATTTAGGCATCTCCTTTACAAGTGTCGCTCCAAATAAAGGACATCTTTTAAGAAACAACACATGGTAAGGTATACCAAACGAATTCTGGGAAATGCAGATAACTGAAATCAGTATTTAAAATGATAAATTAGTATTGGTACAGTGGAATTTCAGGGAGTTAGCCTCTAAACTTTTTTTAATACCTTATCTCCAAAGTCACTGGGGCATGTGTTCGTAGAATATTGGCTTCCAATAAACTGTGAAAACAGTGTCACTAAGAATACTAATAAAAATACAATGTTAGCCATATATTTTCTAATCAGTAGCAGAGAGATCTAACATTCCAACTAACCATTTTACTATCTTATTAATTTTTTAATATTTCATAGGCATGCTGATGGGTCAATCAAGTTTTGGGATGCCTCAGCAAGTAAGTGTTTTCAGTAGAGATTTTTTTCCTGTGCAGTAGGAGTTTTCTAAACTTGCTAATTTCTCTAATGGAATGTAATTGCAGACCAGTCATTCTCATTATTTCCTGCCTCATAGGAATCTTTGGTTTAAAATTAAATTGTTTCACTGTTTTTATCACCTCAGTGAAAATGCACTGGTAGTCCAAGAGTGGAAGAGTTCTAACATTTTTTAGAAGCACCTTCACGAGCACATTATTGAGCAAAGATATGCATGATAAGAAAATGCATTCCTTTTTTAGTAAAAATGAATTTTAGTAAGTTATTTCTGTCTTTTTAGACAGGAGAGAAGAAAGTGTTTATAAGACTTCAGCTCCCCATAAATTACAGTATCTAAAAATGAGAATTGGAACCAGTAGTAGTTTCTGCTAATAAAATGATTTAGGCTTTTGTGAAGAAAGGCAGGAGAACAGTAAAATACACTTTTCTTTGGTGAGATGCTGAACAGACCTGAAGAATCTGCTACTGTTTTACACTTCTCTTCAGTTAAAGGGTCAATTGCATCTGATCCACATAGCTAACAGTGAGAAATGCAGTAAGAATTCAAATTAGAATGGACTACACAGTTAGATGTTTTAATTAATCTAGTTCTGACTAACCTTACTCCTGATACTTAAAAGCTGTGTGAAGCAATGTTGGAATCATTATCAGTTGTCTTTAAAAACTTGTAGAAGGCTGTTGAGATTCCAGAATGCTAAGGCGTGTGTGGGTGTGGGAGGGAACAGATGCAATGTATATGTTTAAAAACTGGGAGGAGGAGTATTTGGAGTGTTATAGATCTTGAATTTCAGTGTGAGGTGGGGGTGGAACCTGGGGGGAGGTGGGGTGGGTGGGGCAGGAAGCCCAAACCTGATTGATTCTGTGTGCTTAAAAATTCTATTCAGCATAGATCTGTCGAAAGGAGATCCTGTCAAAGATATTTAGTTTCTTTCTAAAACAGATAAATAAACCTGTTAAGGGAGGAACTGCAAGTACCCTGTATCTCAATTTTTAAAACTTTTAAATCTCTCTACTAGCAGAGTCTTACAGATGAATAGGGAAGTGTGATTCAGGTAAAACCACGAAAAAGTTGAAGAGGAGAAAGGATACTATAAATTAAGTTTTCCTAATGATGTGATGAGTATTTGTACCAGTGATTTGGGTTACTGACTAGAGAATGTGCCTGTGAAGTTTGAAAGCAACACCAAGGCAGTTGAAAGAGAACGTAAGAATGAATTACAATTTAGAATGATATTGCTAATTCTTGAATAGCATCCAAGATGATTTATTTGAATATAGGATCAATGATTTACACTCAGAACTTATGTTCTGGGAAAAAAAATGGAGGTTTATTGGATTGCAGTGTCAGTGTTGCACAAAAAAAATATCATCAGGATAAAGAAGTGGGAATATCTGTAAAACCAACATGGAGTAACTGTCAAAATTTTAAACCACGGCATGGCTTCACTGGAACAGTTGTGGGAAACACACTATCAAGAAAAATGTGCACTGATCAGAGGGCAGCACTACTGAATGATCAGCAAGAACAAAATAAAAATTGGAGAAACTGGGGCTGTTAAGTCTGAGAACACAGGTGAGAGGCCATGGATTTGAAATACTGTAAGGAGAAAGGAAAGGAGCTTCACGTTCTCTGCTGTAGATAGGCTTAAGTTGTGAGTATGGCATATGTAACTATATGTTATTGTTATAAAGAGATCCCTAAGTATAGTTAAGCCTTGGGAAGCTGTGAGGGCTGAGTTCATAATGGAAGCTTAGTATATATCTCCCAGAAAGTGTTGTTGGTTTTTGTTAATTTTTTTTTAAATTAACTGATCCTGCATTGGGCAAGTGGTACACTGCACAGGTAGAGTCAACACAGACATTCAGTGCTTCTAGTCTGCTCTCTTTTATTGAATATAGTGGCTTTATCTGTGAAGAGAAGATTCTAAACTGAAAAAAATTAACAAGAGAAAAATATCGATGTAGATCAAAACTAATTTGTATCTCTTTCTGTTTGTTCCTAGTAACGCTGCAAGTACTCTATAAGCTAAAAACAGCCAAAGTTTTTGAAAAATCACGGAATAAAGATGACAGGCCAAACACAGATATAGTAGATGAAGATCCATATGCTATTCAGATCATCTCATGGTGTCCAGAAAGCAGAATGCTGTGCATAGCTGGAGTTTCTGCACATGTCATTATTTACAGGTTCAGCAAGCAGGAAGTGACAACAGAAGTCATTCCGGTAATTAGTATAACCGTTTTTTAACTTTGTAGGATTTAACTGTAATAAGACTGTTGCAGCAATTTACTCCTTCATTGTCTTTCATTTTACTAGTGAAATGGACAGAAATAATTGCCTCAAAATGAGGAGATGTATCTTTGTGGAGGAAAATAATACATTATGAAATTTAGCCAAAGTGAAAATTGCACACCAAGATTTTGGTTTTATTTGGATTTTTCAGATTTTTCAGCCAATAAGTTATTTGTTCTATCTATCAAAGCAAATAATGGGTCAAAACTTAGCTGTATCAAAGGTAAAGTGAAAACAGACGTGAATGGGATGTGGAGTTCAAGTATTTTCAAAGCTTTTAGGGAGCTGATTGCTTTTTCCCCTTGATCCCTAATAATTACCACCTGTATTGGCAAAACTTCTTCAGTATGTAAAGCTAGGAAAGTAGGGCATGTCTGGCACACTTCTAAGGTCTGTTAAGGACTTTGCTGTGTCACTGTTTTATTCTGTATAAGATACAACAACGAGTTATATTATAAGAGTTGAAGTCCTTTGTAAAATCACACACAGAGGCAACTTTACTTATCTGAATGTATGAGCTGAAAACTAACTTGAAGCTATTTAGTTGTAAAATGTTGTATGCTCGAAGTAATGTAGTTGTGGTCTTCTTGCGTGCCCCCCCCACCCCCTTCTGCTTCTGCCTCCTTCAAACAAATCTCAGTTTAAGAAGACAGGGCGTATTTTTTTTTCCTTATGGTGTTTACTTATGTACAAGTACATTCCTTTATGAGGGAATAGTTTTTCTAAATGATTTTTTAAAAATCAGCCCCTAGCAAACTATTCTTCAGTACTAGGAACACTTTAAAACTTACTGTGTAGTTCTTTGTTTCAGTCCATGAGTTGAGTTCTAATTTGCAGATAATGAGAAACAGCGGAAAACTTTCTTGACATTGCAATACAGTGAATACTAATATTGTTATAGATCCACCAGCAGGAAATATCTGAAATCATTATGAACTTAGTTCTTTAAAATATATGGTCAGTTCAGTGCAACATCGAACATTGAACTAAGTCCCACGTGTAAAATGCTACATCAGTATAAAGTGTACCTATCTATGTGCCTTCGGCTCTTCGTTTTAGCATTCCTGAGCTATGTAAAGCAAGTCATCTTCATAACTGAGGATTTATTACATGCACAGAATGATAATTAAATGGGTCTTGTATCCAGTATTTAATTTCTTTCCAATATTAAGCAGTAAGCTTTTAAATACTGTGAAATAGTTTAGATGTTCAAGTTTTAGCAATCTTCAGATATTCAGTCTTTACTAGTTAGTATGACTCTGTATTTCTGAAGACTACGTGTGTGTAGGTTGCACTGTTTATTAAACTACTTCATATATAGTTTTTTGAAAGGCAGAGTTTACTGTTGTGGTTTTTTTTGCTTTAATAGATGCTGGAAGTACGTCTGTTATATGAAATAAATGATGTTGAATCTCCAGATGGTGAGCAGCTGCCACCTTTACCAACTCCAGGCACAGGTTCCAATCCTCAATCCATTGTTCCCCAGTCTCATCCATCTACTAGTAGCAGTTCATCTGATGGACTTCGTGATAACGTCCCATGTTTAAAGTAAGTGTATTCTGTTACACTTTTGAGTGTGAAACTGCAAGAATGTGATGAGAATATATGTACTTCAATATTACTACAGAAATGCTGTTGTTAGTGAAAATATTTTATTTCTTAGAGCAATGTTTTCCAAATATCTGTAAGTTGAGTGCTGTTTTAAGAAATTAATATTGTAGTCTTAAATAAATGTCCTATTCCCATGAATCTTCATTACACCTGATGCCTCATAATGTTTGCAGTGTAGGTCTTTGACCAATTTTCATATTTCTTAAATTTGGAGTTTTTTCCGTAAGGCTATTCTGTGTGAACTCTTACGTATTTGAGAAATGAAAGTTAAAGGAAGACACTCTTTTTCACTCTGCTGCAAGAGTGCATTATGAGGCCTCTGGACAATCACCTTTTCCTTACAGAATGTACAATGAACTACATTTTCAGATATAAAATTAAGATATGTATGTACTTCTTGTTTTGTGAAGTTTTAAGGTCCCAGCTTGCATTTTAATTCTTTCAGTGCATCCATCCAGAAAATAACTAATTCGGGGCTTAATGTCTCTGGTGGGAGTTTCCGTGTCTTATTGGTTGCACTGAGTTGCAGAAATGTCTTCCTAAAGAAAGGATGGAATGGAAAATTCCAAATTTCTGTAAAATATTGGCAAACCAAAATATGCGTTAATGAGAATTGTTATGGTTTGGCTGCGGCCGGTAACAAAAGCGCCACGCAGCCGCCCCTCCCCCCGCC